TGTTTACTATTGTTCCCCAAACTAGTTGTTATTTTACTTTTTTAGTTTCATGCATTGTTGCCCTCTGTCCGTAAGGTTGGCAACAAATTTGACTTGTTTATCCTTTCATTTATCAACAGACATTTATTAGGTATGTATATGAGGCCCTCCACTAGCCACCAGGGTGACTCTCACTGGGACTGGTTCAGGGAGACAAGCTATGAATGGCCTCTACCCTCATGGAGCTTGCAAGCTAATAAAGTAGATAGCTATTAATAATAATTTTAAAAATCACACAAATTATGAAGTTGCAACTGTGATAAATGGTACAGAATAAAAGAATATACACAGTACTGTAAGAATTTAAGAGAGAGGGATTACAGAAGTTAAAATAAGAAATAATGAACCAAATTCTGAACATGTTCTAAACAATTTCTTGTTCTGAACAAGTCCTGAACCAAGTTCAAAACATTTCACATCTTCATTTTTCTCATTATAAAGATTGATAGTTGACTTAACCAGTATGCTTTGAGGATATCCTAAGTACATAATCACTTGAATCACCAAAAAATGCCACTGGTGAAGATCACCATTACTCATAGGGAACAAGTATTCCTGTGACTTCTGTTACATAAGTAAGTGTGTTTTTCCCTCTCTCCACACCATTGGGGATAACTGGCCAGTTTGAAGGGGTGCCTTTGATGTCAGTGTTCCTCAGGACATGGTTGGTGGTTTTCCTCTAAAACCCTTATACCCAGAGTGAATTCCAAGCTGGGAGTTCCCGTGCAGTGGTGATGGTGGTAGTTAGTTACATTTTAAAAGCTCTTTTTGGAATTGAGTGTTATACTGTTTGATTTAAACATACAACCATAAATAAAGATAGAACCATAAGTGTTCATAAATATTCTCAATGTACTCTAAGTCCTCACTTAAATAAAAAGTGCCAGTTCAGCCTATATCAGAAATCTTAAAACATGCATTTTGTTTTTATAAACAAAACCAACTACAGTACCTAGTTGAGTTAAGTTATTCATGTCCTACCTGTTGAAGACTTTCCAAATATTTCACATGAGTAGTAAAGTCAGGAGAAATGTATACTTTTGTTTTAGTGGATTTTGAAAGCAAATTTAAAGTATTTTTGTATGTATGCAAACTGCCAAAATCATTCTGAATGGATTGCACTTAAATTATTGTCATAATTGAGTCATCTGTGTTCATGGTTGGCTTTGAAAGAGTTTTTTACCACTTATTTGTAGGATTATTGATGTTATATTTATTATATATTATATGTAAATATGTTATATTTTTTATATTTAATTTATATTTAATTCGGCAGTCTTTGGCTATACACTTACAATTTTTTAAAACAAATTTGTGCAAAACTTAAAAACAGCTATAATGAAGTTGTTTTTTAGTCACATAGTGGCTGCTCTCAGATGAGGCTGAAACTGTCTGAAGAATGTTCTTGTGCATATGCCAAGAGACTTCTGGGATGGACATATTTTTAAGAACCAGAACATAAACAACTGTGATCTGTGGCAAGAGATTTAAATGACCTCATGATGACAATGAGAACAAAGCATTTTTAAGTTATCATGGTGTTGTGTTAATTCACTGCAATGTGTTTGTCATTCTACTTAATACACATTTGGTATGTTTAAGTGAGAGCCAGGCAAAAAATTTCAGACTGTATTTAACTGAAGATAACTCTTTCTTTGTTGTTACAAACAAGCTAAATACCAAAAAAAAAAAAAAAAAAGAAAGAAAATATATTTTCTGAGAATAATATTTCATGAATTATTCTAGAGCTGTAGGTTCTTACATACACACATGTACACACACACACACACACACACACACACACACCACTTTGGGATAAAGGCCATATTTATATCCTAAAGATTTGATTCATTTTCTGTTGGAGAGATTATGTTCCAAACTTGCAAGATCAAACAGTTGGCTTGAAATAAGAATTCTTCCTTCAAGACAGATCAATTAAGTGTTTATTAAGTACTTACTATGTGTCTGGCACTATGTTAAATATTATGGAATACAAAAGAAGGTGACTTTAGCTGCCTTTGGTTTAGTTGGGAGAAAACTCTAAAGTGAAAAAGACATTATATAATCAAGTACCAAATAAAATAACACATAACTTATGTGATGCAAATAATGAAATAGCCCTTCTTTTCAGAAATGCCTTCTAATCATTGTCTAGAACAGTGGTTCTCAACTAGAGGTGATTTTGTTCCCAAGAGGACATTTGACAATATCTGGAGACATTTTTTTATTTTTATGACTGGGGCTATTGGCATCTAGTGGATAGTGCAGACATACTGATAAACTCCTTACAATGTACAGGATAATTCCTCACAACAAAGAATTATCTGGTCCCGAATGACAACAGTGCTGTTATGAGGAACCCTGCTGTAGAATCTACAAATGTCAGTGCTAATAAGTTTTGAAGTTATGGGAGCTGGCCCCCCATCTTCATGTAGACCTCTAGTGCCCCTGTAAATGTTCTTTGCCTGAGACCCTTAGATTCTTACATCGAAATGAGCATTGAGTATCCATAAACCCCTGAATGCTGTATGCAAGTTTTTCCAGTACAGTGTTTCAGGGAGAGATGCCGTATCTTTTATCAAATTCTCAAGGTATCCATGTTCCCAAAAAAGATTCAGACCCTACATGTGGAGTAGAAGTTCATAGTGATTAAGACACATCAAAGCAATGTCCTAGTCACCTGAAAGAGACAATGATACAGAACTTTCCTTATCATTGTAGTAAGTTTCAAGGATCAAAATTAAACAATACTTTTTGGTGAAAAAAAAAGTTTAAATATATTAATTTAGTATTTTGGAGTAATAAAATCTTTCTTAATGTTTGAGGAAATTATACAAGAATGCCTTAAAGATTATTTAAACATCATATCTAATAATACAATACTGTACATGTAGAATTAGACTGGCCTGATTGTATGCTAACCCACAGGCATAATATATAAACCTATTATTTTGTGATTTAAAATCAACTTCTTTTGTCAGGATTTGCTGCTTTCTCCCAAGTAAGGATCCCAGTTTACATTTCCTAAATGCTGTATATCTGTTGATTCAGTCAAAGATCTGGACATCATTTTATACAGGTCACATTTCTCTTAAAAACAGTTTAGTAAAGAGAATTGTATTTTTCTCATAAGAAACATCTTTGAATTGAGAGTTGTGTTTCTGATTTAGTATTCAATAAATTAGAGATCTTACCAGCAGTGCATCATAAAAACAAATCTGCATAACCTTGAGTATGCAGATAATTTAATACTCTTCTAAGTCATAGAAATTTTAAGATTAAGTCTTGGCTTAAAAGCCAAGGAAGGGACCTTAGAGATCATCTATTCCAGCTGTTTCAGGCTGTTCTTTGAGGCACAAGACCCAAAACATTACTTCTAGTTGTTACATATTTGGACTTCTACCAAATATTTTCTTTGGGGGTGGGGGAGAGGTGTATGTGGGTGGGAGGGTTATATGCTTCTGATCTAGACCAACCTCCTTTTTCAGATAAGGAACCTGAGACCCAAAGCTTTTGACTTTATTCATTTTATACTTTATACATTTCTTTATTCTGGGTCAAACCAGCATTTTAGATGTATCTGGTCATAGTATAGAGGATAACTAGGCAATTACAGTCGTGTGACTTCCTTGCTGCATGTTCTTAGGCAAGTTGCTGAATGCTCTTAGTCTCAGTATACTCATCAGGTAAAAAAGGAATTGTTATATCCTTAGGATTGCTTTCACCTTAGAATTTAGAGTATATCTGGGAAGATGATCTGGATTGACCCTGTCTCTCTTAAAAAGCATTTTGAATCATTCCATTAAGTATTGTTTTTCTGAAATGAATATTATGTCATATAAATAGTGAAGCTGCCTCCTCCCCAAACCAAACTGTGATGTCCAAACAATACTACAAAATAAAGAAACGTCTTTATTACCAAAGGTAACAACACAGTAATCACATTTCCTTACTTTGGCAGTAATGAGGGTCTTCAAGGACTGATACGTCAGCCTCAGGGCTTTTTCCTTCTCACTCATCTAGTCCAGTTATTACATAAGCCACCTAGAAACACAAATTAGGAACTGTAGAATATAAGAAATAAGGACCTTTAAAGATGAAGTACAAGAGCAGATAACATTGAGGGTGCCTGCCTGGGTGGCTCAGTCGGTTAAGCGTCTGCCTTCGGCTCGGGTCATGATTCCAGGGTCCTGGGATCGAGTCCCATGGTGGGCTCCCTCCTCAGCAGGAGCCTGCTTCTCCCTCTGCCTGCCACTCTCCCTGCTTGTGCTCTCTCACTCTCTTTCTATCTCTCTCAAATAAATAAAATCTTTAAAAAAATTTTTTTTAAAAAGAGCAAATAACATTGAAAGAGGTAAACCATACAAAGTGGAATCTGACCTTGGTGGTCCTTTTGATCATAAGGATGTATCTCACATAGTACTTGAGGAGAGATTATGAGAATTCTTTCCTCCGGGGGTATTTCAACAAGGATTACCTTACTAATCAATTTTTGTTAGTCACCTATGGTTTCCAAGGAATGCTTTTATTTGGGCAACAGAAGCAATTAGAGATAATTATGTTAAAGACTACTTACCTGTTTGCCATCAAAAATGAATTAGTAGTCATATCCTGAGAAGATTTTGTTCCAGGATTTTTCCTAGTGTCTTAAAGCAATTAAGTATATAGAAATGAAATTTGAACCTAAATAAAAGATTTTTCTTCAGTGGCCTGACTATATATCAAGTTGCTAGGTTTGTTTATTTATTTTGGTTTGGTTAAGTTTATTGTTGTTTTTTATTAGGAAATAGCTTTGATATGAGTTGATCCTATATTTCTCTGATTTGGGAGTATTACACAATTTAGTGTTGCATTTTATTTTGTTACTCTGGTAAATATATGTAAATTATCTTTTTGGGTAAATTACATTTTTAATGAATGAAGATACAACATTTTAAACTGAACTCTGTGTTTTTTCTTAGGTCTGAAAGAAAGTGCAGAAGAAATGGTCAAAAACAAATTGGAAGGAAAAGATAAATTGACCCCTTGGGAACAATTTTTAGAGAAGAAGAAAGAGAAAAAAAGACTGAAGAAGAAACAGAAGGTATCAATGATATTTTTTTTTTTTAAAGATTTTATTTATTTATTTGAGAGAGTGAGAGAGAGAGAGAGCACAAGAGGGGGGGAGCGGGAGAGGGAGAAGCAGACTCCCTGCTGAGCAGGGAGCCCGATGCGGGACTCCATCCGGGGACTCCAGGATCATGACCTGAGCCAAAGGCAGTCGCTTAACCAACTGAGCCACCCAGGCGCCCCGGTATCAATGATATTTTAAGCAAATACTTATTGAACAACAACCATGTATCAGAAGGTACCAGGTGCTTGGCATCCATTATCTCATAATGTAACCACTCACTAGAATAGGCCTTGTTATCATCACAATTTTAAGAAAGAGGAAGGGAAAAACCCAGTAGCCTAAGTGTTTTCTGCAAAGTGATGTAATGAGGTACAAATCCTAATAAAAGACCAGAGCCACTTTAACTACAATGTTCTAGTATTTTACCTTTAAGTATGCCACCTATAAGATACATAGTTTAGTTGATACGTAGATATAAAACAGTTCAATTCTATTTGTGTTTTTGAGGAAGAAAGATGCATACAGAATTTTTTACTTGAGGATATATACATACAGAAATTTTTTTTAAGATTTATTTATTTGAGAGAGAGAGCACAAGCAGGAGGGCCAGAGGGAAAGGAAGAAAGAGTCTTAAGCAGACTCCGCAATAAGTGCGAAGCCCGACGTAGGGCTCGATCTCATATCCCTGAGATCACGACTTGAGCCAAAACCAAGAGTCGCATACTTAACCAGCTGTGTCACCCAGGTGCCCCTACATATAGAAATTTTTGACATGAGTGAAATTTTTTTCTCTACATTTCTCAACCTGCATTTTTCACGTTTCAGTATTATATGGATCTATTAACATCTTGTCATTAAATCCCTTTAATTAAGGATATTTCCTCTGCACTAATATGTTGTCTTGAAAAATCTAATTTGACTCCCATAATTTGAGGATAACATCTTTTCCATCAGAGTCCTTAGAAATAGCAGAGACCACTTAACAGTTTTTGCCACTAAAAATACTCTATCTTATCACTGAAATTCAGCATTCTAACAGTATAGTTATTGCCTTAAGATAGTATCAGTAATCACAGAATTTTGCAGTTTGAGTAATCTTAAATGATTTGTTCTAGTCCAATCCTGATGCTTTATAGTTGTAGAAAAATAACTGATTTATCTCCAGCTACACAGCTTGTTAATGACCAAGCTGAGACCGGAATCCAGATCTCTCACTCCAGTGTCCTTTCTACTGTACGGTATTGTTTCTCTCTGTCCTGCAGAGGCTTGTGCTTTTGGTACAGCTGTGACTTTCAGTGCTTGTAAATATAGAGGGCTGCAAAATTGAATGATGCACTGGAGGGATTTTTAATACTCCTCTATTTTAGTCAGTGTTTCTGGAAATAGATAATAAAATGAGAATAGAGGGTAAGAGCCCTGTCCCCATTGATAGGTTGCCTCTCTTCTTCCTTAGAACTTCTTTTAAAACTAAGGTAAGCAGTAAAATATCTTTTAAATGGAATAATCTCATAAGTTATTAAACCATCAGTTTATTGTAAAATTTACAAGTGGGTCCTTTTTGGGTCAATAAAGTAGTCACTTGTTTCTGAGACCTTCAGCAGCTATTCTTTTTGATTTTCATTTGCTGGGCACTTTGAGCTTATCTTGTGCTTTTACTCTTTCCCTTCATTGGGCTAAGACGACTCGTTTTATTATTGCCGTTAAAAATACATCTGTTGAAAGCCAGTTTGTTCTAAACTCAGTGCTCTGTGCTGGATTGGTGCTGCATTCCAGCAGATCCCTTCCATCCACAGTTTTTCATATAGAGAAGAGTTTCAAGAATTTCCTTCATGTTAAAAATATTTTTCCCCTTTTCATCTCTGTGACTTCAATTTTGAAATTGAGAAATTATTATTATTTTTTTTAAAGATTTTATTTATTTTTCAACAGAGAGAGAGAGACAGCGAGAGAGGGAACACAAGCAGGGGGAGTGGGAGAGGGAGAAGCAGGCTTCCCGCTGAGCAGGGAGCCCAATGTGGGACTCGATCCCAGGACCCTGGGATCATGACCTGAGCTGAAGGCAGACGCTTAACAACTGAGCCACCCAGGCGCCCTGAAATTGAGAAATTATTAATAAAGAAATGAATACATGGTTATGTGTCAAAGTTGATATAGCTATAATTTAGCTCTAAAAGCAGTTAAAGAAATACGTGAATAGATAGTTAGATATGTAGGTATTACATAATCTTTGTTAGAAACATCATATTATTACTGAATCTGTTGTAAGAGTTTGGTGAAAAATTTTTAGTTCTTGTTCTTAAAAGGATATTAATATCGGGGCACCTAGGTGGCACAGTTGGTTAAGCATCTGACTTTTGGTTTCAGCTCAGGTCGTGATCTCAGGGTCGTGAAATCGAGGTCCTCATCAGGCTCCTTGCTCAGCGCCGAATCGGCTTGAGATTCCCTTTGCCCCTCTCGCTTGTGTTCTCTCTCTTTCTCTCCAAAATAAATAATTAAGTATTTTTTAAAAAGGATATTAATATCCAAATGAATACTCTTTAGGGCTTGGTGGGTCTTTTTCAGCATGCAGGGTGATGTTTAGCAATATATACTCTAAATATTTTTATTAAAATGACTCATTTTTTAGGTTCCTGGGAATAAAACTCAGTCTGGTTAGTATGATCTTAGTTCATATGTTCTATTTATTTTATAGGCTTGATTTTTAATTTAAATATTCTAATTTAGTAGACCGTCTGTTCAAATTTAATTAGGAAAAATTTAACCAACAGTTCTTAAAAATAGCCAAAGGGTTTTCAGGGGTGGATTACAGATAAAACAAGATAATTGTTGAAATTGGGTGATAAGAACAGGAGCTTCATTAAGCTGTCCTTACTGCTTTTGTATATGTTTTAATTGTCATAATAAAAGATCACTTTTTTTAACCTGCAAATAAATTATTTTAAATAATTTAAATGATAACCCACAATGTACTACTTCAAACTATTGATAGTCACTGCAATTTCTCAGTTTTGTGAGAGAAAAGGCCACCTCCTTTCGCTGTCAACCACATAAAAGTGTTCTTCTCTTTTGAATGTCTGTATCATTTCATTTTTGCCTCTTCTAGCACTTCCTATCTTGAACTACTATTACTGACATATGTGTCTGTTTATGTGTCTAGCTTTTGCTTATAAATTGTAAAATTTTTAAAGACAGAAACCATGTATCTGATAGCTTTCATTTCTCCAAAAACCCTACATAATTTTCTATATTTATTAAATATTCCATAAATATTTGTTGAACAAACAAAAGAATAACTCAGATGGGAGTTATTTTACAAACCAATCCATTTTAAAAACTGGTGTAATTCTAGATTGAACTATTTGATTTAAAAGAAATGATAGGATTTTCCTTCATGGTCTTCGTAATAAACTACATGTATTTTTATATTCAACTTTAAGGCTCTTGCTGAAGAGGGTAGTGAAGATGAACTTCCCTCTGATGTTGATTTGAATGACCCATACTTTGCTGAAGAAATTACAAAAATAGGTAAGCCAGCCCATATTTGAGTTTTTAATTGGAATTTTTTTTAAAAAGGTGTCATGGGTAGAAACAATATAAACTACTCATTCTCTTAAAATCCTAGAATTTGTGTAGCTCTTTTAGTGGCTTATAAGCAGTCTGTCCAATGGGGTATAAATATCTCTCAGCTCAGGAAGGGTCGGCATGCCTCCTATACATACAAGGGGTAATTTCATTAGGAGGGTTTTGGTGATGTGATTGACTTAATGGTTTACCAGGGATTCCTTTCTCAGAAATATCCTTGTAGAAGGATTGATGAGAGAAAGGATGAAAGAAAAAGGAAGTCAGCTTCTTGTGTGCTTTCACTGCTTTTTTATGATGCATCTACTCTAGGTCTTTGCGAAGGCTGTGAAAAAGTGAAAGTGAAAAATTTGTTTATGTTCACGTGGATGTGTATATAAATTTCTTTTAATTTTTACAGTGTTATATAACGTATAAAAACTTTTCTGCTCAATGCAAGATATGTTAAGAAAAAAAAAGAAGAAGAAGAAGGTAGCGGGAGGGGAGGAATGAAGTGGGGGAAATCGGAGGGGTGGATGAACCATGAGAGAAGATGGACTCTGAAAAACAAACTGAGGGTTCTAGAGGGGAGGGGGGTGGGAGGATGGGTTGGCCTGGTGGTGGGTATTGAGGAGGGCACGTTCTGCAGGGAGCACTGGGTGTTGTGCACGAACAATGAATCATGGAACACTTCATCTAGAACTAATGATGTAATGTATGGGGATTAACATAAGAATAAAAAAAAAAAAAAACTTTTCTGCTCAAATATACAAAAACATCTATGTTCCATTTTATCCATTTTACATTTATCCTACTTCATCATTATAGATGAAAGCCAGCTTCCTCCCCTTTTTCCTTGGATCCCTGAACTATCTGGGCATTCAATTTCCTATATCCAAGGAGCTTTGTTTCCATTGCATATGCACTGCTCATTCTTTCCTGAATGCTTTCATTCTTACCTTTTTGGTATGTGTAAATGTGTGTGGTAAGGTTCAGGCCGTACTTAGGTCAGTGCAGAGACTACTGTAAGCATTTTCCATTTGTTTTCATGCATTTTGCCTTTCCCTGATCTAAATACCACACACATGAACTCCAAAAGACTTGCTCCTGGAGCAACTCCAAGCTGGCATTGTAAAGAGAAGGATTTTATGAAATTTCCCTGCTTCTTGTCCCTTGTGACTAGTGGGCCAGAATAGTTCTCAACAGGAAAGTCAAAATTGCTCAAAATTATTTCCTGGTTTTTATAGCCTTTTAGCACTGACATTTTATTGATGAAAAGGAGATTAAGATGAATAAAGTCTATTATAGGATGTCATATTCTTAGGAATTGGAAAGGGAAATGGAAACTTAGCATATTCTGCTTTTTATCATACCTGAGTGGTCATTTCTAGAAGATGATGGATTTTAGCCTTATCCTCTGATTTCAGGAAACCAAATTTATAATGGAGAAATGCAAAGCATTATAGTTTCCTTATTCTCATTCCAAAGTGCTTCATTTGGCATGTACATTCTGGTCAGACTTTAGAACTCAGGGTAGGATTCAAAGAGTAAGTTAAAAATGTTTTGATGGCTTGGGGTAGCTTGTTTCCTGGAATCAGCACATTTAAATTGTGAATAAGCTTCCTCGAAAGGTAGTAGCAAAAGTTCCAAGGGAAAGTATAGATAAAATTTTTTGCTTTCAATATACTTTTGATTTCAGAGTATATCCTAGGAGTAATTATTTATATCTGGGCTGAAGTTGTTTCTTTAAAGGAAAAAGAAAAACAAAAAGGCTGAGAATTTTTTTAATAAAATTTAGGGCCAAAAAATAGTATCTTGCCATGTTTGTTTATTCATTCAAACAATAAGTATTACCTACTAGGTGCTGGACACTCTGCTAGGCTAAAGGTAGAGCGGTAATAATATAAGCAAGGTTACGTTTCTTGAGAAGTCTATGGTATTAGGGAAGACATGCTAAACAGGTAAACAAATAAGAATATTATGAGAATATGGTCAGTGTTTTAAAGAAAATAGGGTAATATAGAGGATATAACTGAGAGGAAGGAGAGTAGCTTACTGTAGACGTAGGGTAGGCAAAAAAGACTTCTGAGGTGATGACATTTGGCTGAGACCTGTAGAATGAGGAGTCCTGCATAAAGAATGTTGCAAATGAGAGGTAAGAGATAGAAAGGCTGTGAGGTGAGAAAGAATTGTCATGTTGGAGAAATTGAAAGACCCTGATGTGGCTGGAGCATGGTCAGAGGAGTTTGGTATGAGGCCAGGCTGGACACAGGATCAACCCAGGGTTTTGTGTCGTGGCAACACATTTGGATTTTGCTCTCCTGACAGTGGGAAGCCACTGAAGGGTCTTTAAAGCAAGAACATGACATGATCTGGTATGTATTCTGGTTCCTGTGAAGAGTACAGATTGAAGCATTGGTGAGAACTGGGAGACCAGACTTTGCAAGAGATGATGGTTGGTTTAGATAGCATGCCAGTAATGGAATTGGAAGGAGAAAAGTAAATGGAATTCTAGATATATTTTGGATGTAGACTTGCTGACTTACTTGAATAAGGAAGTAATTTAGCATAACTCTAGATTTTTGGTTTGAGTCTCTGGAAGAATATTCTTCCATTTACTGAGTTAGGAAGGAATGTAGGAACAATAGGTTTGGGTGGGAAGTAGGGTCAGTAGGTCCATTTTGGTTATAATCACTTTGAGATGGTTGGAGGTATTATGTTACATTTATAAAGGAGTCTGGGTGATCAGCTGAGAAGTCAGTGCAGATATAAACTTAGGAATTAGTAGCATATAAATAGTATTTCAAACCATTGAACTGGAGGTGAAAAGCATTGATAAGAGATGAGGATGCAGGATTGGGCTCCGAGGTTGGGTAAAGCCTACACAAGGTACTATTACTCTGTCATACTGGCGAAGGTACTACTTGGAAGGTAGGGGGAACGTTGAAGAAACTGAGGAGCAGTTGTGGAATAGGAAGAAAAGCATTAGTGTTTGGAAGGGTGTATAGTTCAAACCCCATGGTTGAGCAGGACAGAGACATTTTAAGCCAGATGGACTTGGATACATTTATAACACCTTTGCCCTTGGCAATCCCGTAGAGCTAAACTTACATACTCTTCAAACTATGGAGGAATTGAGTTCATTAATTAATGCCAGACCTGGTGTTTGGCTTGGGTTAGGAGCCAGTGTGAGTACTAGAAATCTTTTCTCATTTTTCCCCCTACACTATAAACTTGCTATATTTTTTTTTCTGTTTTTTCCTAAACTGCAAACTTGATAACAAATGAGAGTTTCAAAAATATAATGTACTTCTAGAATGAGTTAAAAGTTACTTTTTTCTTAGAAATGAAATACAGTTGACCCTTGAATAACATGGGTATGAACTGCACTATGAACCGTGAATCCACTTTTACGTGGATTTTTTATGATAAATACAGTACAGTATTGTAAATGTATTTTATATTTTCTTAATAACATTTTTCTTTTCTCTAGCTTACTTTATTGTAAAAATAGATACTAACAAATACACAAAATATGTATGAATCAACTCTTTATGTTATTAAGCCTTCAGGTCAACAGTAGGCTATTAGTAGTTATGTTTTGGAGGAGTCAAAAGGTATATGTGGATTTTTAACTGTGGGGGGTCAGTGCCCCTAACTTCTGTGTTGTTCAAGGGTCAGCTGTATTGGAAAAATTTGTTTATGTCTGTCTAATCACATAAACTCCTTAATAAGATTTTGTTTTTGAAGAAGTAGAAGTAAAATAAAGTATATCACATGTAAATATACCCTATTAAAATGTATCCTTTGACAACTTTAGATATTTGATAAACCACCATGAAATCTGATAATATGCTGCATATACTTGATTCATTTAGTCAGTATGTTGAGTGCTTATATCAAATTGCTTTTATATGTTGGTCTACAGTTTAAAAATGCTTATATTTGTATTCTGTCCTCTAAACTTCAGCCCACTTTATAGATGAGTAAATTGGAGCTCAAAAAACATAGCTGAATTGCACAACGGTCAGTGGTAGATGGTAGAACTTGAGTCTTAATGGAGTCTCTTTACTTTTTGTCACCCTCAAAGTAAGTATGTTGTAAAGACCGAAGCCAGAGCCAGGACCCATGTGTATAAGAGGTGGACATGGGGAATTGCTGGATTTCCAAGCAAAGCCAGAATGCCCAGGTCCAGAGGACGATTAACAGACTGTATCTAATTATGGGCATTGGAACTTGCTACAAAAAACAGTGAATTGCAAGGGGGCTTACCACTCCGGTCTGGTCAGTACTGAGGCCGCATTTGCCCTCCAGTGAATTCTTTTAACTATTCTGGTACGAAGTGCTCAGCTAAACCCTTTGGAGGAAGTTTTTTATGAGAATACTTCTCGGACATTACAAGTAATGGAAAATGGAACTTCCTTTACAGATATTCCTTTTACAGGTCAAGTTTTTGCAACACATCTTTTTCCATAAATATATTCTGTTACATTTTTTGCTTAAAGAGATAGTAGCCTCAGTAAGGATTTTTAGATTTATTTTTTTAATCCATATCTGATCTGGAATCTCTGTTAGTATTCAGGGTGTTAGAATCAACCATATGTCCTTTTCTCAGCAGTCCCAGGACACGTGATTTCTTACTTGCCAAAAGATTTACTGAAAAATAAAGATTACCTTTCAGAACAGGAATTTTCATTTCCCTAGTACTCTTTATCTAACTTAGGTCTAATAGCTTTCCAAAGAGAAAAAAAAATGCTTTTTAAAAGAAATTAAGATGTGCCCTCTTAATATGATCTTGTTAACAGTGCAGAAAAGATCTCTGCACATTATTTATCTTCTGGCTAAACAGTTTGGACCAGCACAGTAAATTCTTTGTGAGTAAAGAAATATTCATCATGTTAAAATTGGATATCATTTTTAGCCCTGACCATTTTGGAGATTCTTTTTTTCCTCCTTTGCTACAATCTTTCTTTCAAGTTTATTTTTATGACTTTTCACCAGGTTGTTATAAAATCAGGAACAGTTCATTGTGGGTTCTTTGAAATTATTTCCCACAGCTGTATATGAAGATCTTTATCTCCTTTATGTATTAATCATATACAGCCTGGTTTTTTTTCCTGCCACAGAACTATCTTCTGCATATGTCACTTGTCTATTCACTTCAAAAGGAGCTCTTGCCTTGAGAACATAGGAGCAGAAGTAAACTTAGGGTGTAGAAGTCAGACCCTAAGAAAGTGGAACCTTGATGATATTATATATAAATATACACATATTTTAAAATAGAGAAAAAATTATAATCTGAAAGTAGATATATCATTTCCTTAAAAACATTTGATATAGGAACAGTAAAGGCTTTCACTTTAGGAAAAAGGGCTGTCTACAACTATTTCTTCCTGGAAGTGTAGACAGATGCCTTGGTAGCACTGAAGGGTGATCCTAAGCAGCACTTGTATGCTGGCATTTTCTCTCAGCTGGGCACGTCTGCAAAAGTACGGCAGGGACTTAGTGTTCACGGAGCAGTTTCTAAAGCCTCTCTCAACTTTTAGGCTTCGTTTTTCCTGTTACCCCTCATTAGCTGCAGTTATTCAACCATTATATGCTTTGTGAATTTATTTATTATTTCACAACAAAATGTATTTTAAACAGAAAGAGTTGTTACAAGGAGATGGACATTCGATAATAAAGGAGTGTTGTTTAGTGATTAACAATAGAGAGCCTGAGCTGGACTGCTTGGGTTTGAATCATGGTTTCTTCACTTACTAAACTTGAGAGAATTACTTAATCTCTCTGTGCTTTGGTTTCCTCATCCACAGAATGAAGATTATAACAAATAATGGAATCTACCTCATAGCATTGTTGTGAGGATTATATTAGTTAGTATATGTAAAGTGAGTAGAACAATGCTACTGCCTGATACACAGTAAGTGCTATGTAAGCATTAATCATTATTACCTTAGAGACCATTGGTTTCTTAGCCAAAGAGGACAGCGTTCAGTAGAGAAGATTGGCATTGTGTAATAATATTCTAGAGTAACACAACATGTCTTTGTAGATTCTGAAACGTCTTACTCATTAGACTAGTCTTTCATACTTTAGCATCCTGATGCCAATCCCTTTTGCACCCCTCCTGCTCCAACAGACACAAAAAAAGGAAGAAAAAATAAGGCATCAGCATGTTCACTGAGGAACCCAGGACATATTATTTTTTTTTTTTAAAAGATTCTATTTTTTATTTGACAGAGAGAGACACAGCGAGAGAGGGAACACAAGCAGAGGGGGTGGGAGAGGGAGAAGCAGGCTTCCCACTGAGCAGGGAGCCCGACGCGGGGCTCGATCCTAGGACCCTGGGATCATGACCTGAGCCAAAGGCAGACGCTTAACAGCTGAGCCACCCAGGTGCCCCCCAGGACATCTTATTTATGTGTAGTAATAGCAAGCACTTTATAGCACCATGTGTCAGGCATTAACTGAGCTCTTCACATTTACCAATTTATTTAGTCCTCACAATAACCCTGTGAGGTAGGTGCTACTATTAGAATTGTCATTTTACAAATGAGGGCACAGGCCCAAACTGCCACAGCATAAGTGTGATATAGCTAGAATTTAAACCCAGGCAAACTGCTCCAGATTCAAGTGCCCTTAACTCTTGCACATGACTACCTCTCATTCAGGACGAGAACATCTCCTCTAACATCTTGTGGTCTCCAGAAGTCCCTGAGTCCCCAGAGATACAAGCAGTGTTACCAATCAGGAGCCACTTTTACCATAAGTAGTTTTGCTTAATAATAGGGCTGGTAAGTTAATTGAAGATCAGTTTTTGTCTTTAGAGAAGGAAAAATTGTTAAACTTTTACTATGAAATTCTTATTGTAGAGATGAATTTTTCATTTTACAGGTGAGTTTTTTATATATAGAATTTTAAGAGTTTATGTATTAAAATCACTTTTTTTTCTTTGTGATTTCTTCTATTATTCTTACTCTAAGAAAATATTTCTTCTATTTAAGATCAGGTAACTAGTCTTCTGGAATTCTCATAGGTTTGTTTTTTTGTTTTTTTTTTTTAATGTTTAACTCTTTAGTCCATTTGCATTTTATTTCCCTGTACATTATGAGGTGAGGTTATAACTCGATTTTTTTCCCCCAGAATAAAGCAGATTTCCCAGCACCAGTTATTGAATAATCCCTTCTTTTTCCAACAATGTATGATAGTGCATTTTATTACACACTAAGCCATACTGTTCTATTGTATGAATGGATGTTGAATTTTATCCAGTGCTTACTCTGTATCTTTTCAAATGATCTCATGGTTTTTCTTTTTTAATTAATGATGTAATTATGCACTACTTTCAGAAGAAATCCCTTCTTTATAATACTCAGTCACCGTATCCAGATGTATTTATTTCGTTCATACCCATAGTTATCTCCACTGACATTTTTTACTTCTTTTAGTTTCTCTACATTTATTTATAAGATTATTCCTAGATACCTAGGAATAATCCTGACTTCCTAGTGTAAATAGAATGTCATGGATAGTCTTGTAATTTTTTCACCCTTCTGTGTTGGTTTGTTGTGCCAGGTATAAAAGAAAAGAAAAAATCAATGAAATCTACAAAAGATTGCACATCTCCAGTGGAAGATGCTGAAATAGAAAGACAAAAGGTAAAACATGATCATTGCTACATTCCTAGTGGATAATTGATATGTACAATTTAAATGAAGTTGTCTACATGAGTTTCTAATGTCCCTAATAAAAAAATAACTGATTTTAGCAATGAAATTTATAAATAAATTATAAAACACATCATTAAATGTTTTAGCAGTGTAGGATTTTTTAAAAAGATTTATTTATATGAGAGAGAGAGAGGTAGTGCTCATGGAGGGGAGGGGCAGAGGGAGAGAATCTCAAGCAGACTCCCTGCTTAACAGGGAGCCCGATGTGGGGGCTCCATCTCACAACCTGAGATCATGACCTGAGCTGAAATCAAGTCAAATGCTTAACCAACTGAGCCACCCAGGTGCTCCTAGCAGTGTAGTTTTTACCAGACATTTTTCCAGCTAATACAAAGTTGAAATTTTATCTCAAACCCAGGTCATGTCCCTTTTTGATTTAGAGGAAAATCAGTCACTATTAAAAATTCTTACTATAGGGTTGCCTGGGTGGCTCAGTAGTTAAGTGTCTGCCTTCGGCTCAGGTCATGATCTCAGGGTCCTGGGATTGAGCCCCACATGGGGCCCCCTGCTCCGCGGGAAGCCTGCTTCTCCCTCTCCCACTCCCCCTGCTTGTGTTCCCTCTCTCGCTGTGTCTCTCTCTGTCAAATAAATAAATAAAATCTTAAAAAAAAATCTTACTATAACTAAGACAAAAAAATGCTATTAAAACCTTGAAATAATATTGCCATAAGTTTAATTTTTTTTACTTTTTAAATTTAAATTCAATTAATTAACATATAGTATATTACTAGTTTCAGAAGTAGAGTTTAGTGAGTCATCATTTGCCTATAATACCCAGTGCTCATTATATCATGTGCCCTCCTTAATGCCCATCACCCAGTTACTCCAACCTCCCACCCACCTCCCCTCAGCAACCCTCAGTTTGTTTCCTATAGTTAAGAGTCTCTTATGGTTTGTCTCCCTCTCTGATTTCATCTTATTTTATTTTTCCCTCCCTTCCCCTATGATCCTCTGTTTTGTTTCTTAAATTCCACATATGAGTGAAATCGTATGATAATTGTCTTTCTCTGATTGACTTATTTTGCTTAGCATAATACCCTCTAATTCCATCCACTTCATTGCAAATGGTAAGATTTCTTTTTTTGATGGCTGAGTAGTATTCCATGTGTATATACACCACATCTTTATCCATTTATCTGTCAATGGACATCTGGGCTCTTTTCATATTTTGGCTATTGTGGACATTGCTGCTATAAACATTGGGGTGCACGTGCCCCTTCGGATCACTACATTTGTATCTTTGGGGTAAATACCCAGTAGTGCAATTGCTGGGTCATAGGGTAGCTCTATTTTCAACTTTTTGAGGAACCTCCATACTGTTTTCCAGAGTGGCTGTACCAGCTTGCATTCCCACCAACAGTGTAGGAGGGTTCCCCTTTCTCCGCATCTCTTCCAACATCTGTCGTTTCCTGACTTGTTAAGTTTAGCCATTCTGACTGGTGTGAGGTGGTATCTCATTGTGGTTTTGATTTGTATTTCCCTGATGCCAAGTGATGTTGAGCTTGGGACTTCATCAGGATAAAAAGCTTTTGCACAGCAAAGGAAACAGTTGACAAAACCAAAAGAAACCTGAATGGGAGAAGATATTTGCAAATGTCTTATCAGATAAAGGGCTAGTATCCAAAATCTATAAAGAACTTAGCAGACTTAGCACCCACAAAACAAATAATCCAGTCAAGAAATGGACAGAAGACACGAACAGACATTTCTCTAAATAAGACATAAAAATGGCCAACAGACACAAGAAAATATTGCCATAAGTGTTAATTCAATCTGAATCTGCCCTATAATTCAGACTTTGTTTTTGTGTTATCAGGTGCTAATTTCTCTCTTACTATTGCAAACAACATAAATGTAATGTACAAAATTAAAGTCTTTCTTGGAAATGCAGTGACCTTTATGCTTCACTGACTCCAAAGATCCATGGCACAGATTAATATGTATTTTTGCTGAGGCAGGAGTTGGAGTCAACAATGTCCCAATGACCAATGTTCATGTCACTGCCTGGGAGTGAGCCTAACTGGTCACCTAAAAACTCTGCATGATAATGCATCTTTTCTATCCTCCATTTATTGCACATACAGTAATGCTCATAGAGTAAAGGAGTGCAAAAAAAAAATCTTTCTTTTGTGGAAAATGGTTCTTAAAAGAAAGCCAACTGCAGGTGCCAGTGATGGAAGTGAAAGAAAATTAGAACAATCTAGGGACGCCTGGGTGGCTCAGTTGGTTAATAAGCATCTGCCTTCAGCTCAGGTCATAATCCCATGGCCCTGGGATCGAATCCCGCATCGGGCTCCCTGCTCAGTGGGGAGCCTGCTTCTCCCTCTGCATATGTGTGCGTGCTCTCTCTCTCTCTGACAAATAAATAAATCTTTAAAAAAAATAATCTAAAGTGGTAGTATAGAAAGATTCACAAAGGTTTGGCAGTATACTCTGTATTTTCTCTCGTATACATGGTTGTTTACTTGGTTCCTAAAGGTTCATGTTTAATCCCATGGTTGGAAGAAAATTCCACTGTTTAGTGGAAACAGACATATTTCAGAAGCAAATATTAAGATTCTGCCTTCATAGAAATGTATCAATTTTGAAAAAGTAAAGGCAAAAAAAGCAAAAGAAAAAAAATTCCTTGCTGTTAAAGCACATGTTTGGAAAGTGTAGGTTGTTTCACAAAATACTACATGTTTGCTAGATTTAGTGCCATTGCCTGAAAAGACCGAAGTGAAAATGAGAAATTTTTATTTGGGGGTTTGAGGACTCTTTTCTATAGCCTATTAACGAGTTACATGAAGTGAAATGTTGTCTGGGTTTTTTGTTTTGTTTTGTTTTGTTTAAGATTTTATTTATTTATTTGACAGAGAGAGAGAAAACAAGCAGGGGGAGTGGCAGGCAGAGGGAGAGGGAGAAGCAGACTCCCCGCCGAGCAGGGAGCCCAGTGCGGGGCTCGATCCCAGGACCCTGGGATCATGACCCAAGCCAAAGGCAGACACTTAACTGGCTGAGCCACCCAGGTGCCCCTTTGGTCTGGTTTTAAATACAAATTTTCACTCCTCTCCTGCTCTTGGTGATGTTGCTTCTAAAAATTTTATCTCATTGCTCTACAAAGATCTCTGAGTTTCTTTATGAGTTTTGGTAATCCACAATCAGTTTATGGATGACAGATGTCATCCCAGAGCACTAGCGACTGGGTTCTCCTTTCCTAGAGGGGCTATCTGCGCCCCATACTTCAGCTTGGGGAAAAAAAGCACTGTTGTATATTTGATTTTTTTTTTCCCTCCACAGGCTGAAATGGCTTTGCTCGTGATGGATGAGGAGGAAGAGAGTAAGAAACACTTCAATTACAACAAGATTGTAGAGCACCAGAATCTGAGCAAAAAGAAGAAAAAACAGCTTATGAAAAAGAAGGAATTATTAGAGGATGACTTTGAGGTAACCAGGGACACCTCTTAAAGCTGGGTTGAATTTAAAGTTGGCTCTGGAGATGAGCATTGAGCACAGCCAAAGTTAGTCTGAAATGTCTTAGGAAAGGCCGACAGTGGAGCCAAAGCTGCCATCTTTTAGTCCAAAATAGCTAGTTCATCCAGGGTGGATCAAATCACTGTTTAGTTGAGCACCAGGTGAAGTATTGGCTTGTTTTTTGGTTGCACCAAAGCTATGGCTTTGCTGCTTTTTTTTTTTTTTTTTTAAATACCTAGCTTTTAACGTTAGAATCATATGCAATGTGATGCTCATGATGGGAAAGATATACATACTCAAGCTTGATTGAGAAAGAGCAGGTTCATGTCACATCGTGTCACACATACACTGTGTACAGTGGCCACTGCAGTAGGCCATGCTTTTTTTTATTGCTACAGCTCTTTGTTTCTGTCACTCCCTCTTTTCCCTCTTTTCCCTCTTTTTGCTAATAAGAACTTATTCCTAAAGGCCATTCACTCCTATGTGTGAGTTTGAGCCTATACAAAAAAGTCTACAAACTGATGTCAGCAACTACTTAATGACTTCCAAGAGCAGGCCTTAAAACTCCATTGAAGAGGGGCGCCTGGGTGGCTTAGTCGTTAAGCGTCTGCCTTCGGCTCAGGTCATGATCCCGGGGTCCTGGGATCGAGCCCCACATCGGGCTCCCTGCTCAGCGAGAAGCCTGCTTCTCCCTCTCCCACTCCCCCTGCTTGTGTTCCCTCTCTCGCTGTCTCTCTCTCTGTCAAATAAATAAATAAAATCT